GCTAGGAAAGTGCTCTATCACTAAGCCACAACCCCAGCCCATCTAATCTTAGTACTTTTAAAAGTTTGTTTCTTAGAGAAATTATTCATTAAAAGAACAGAATTATTCATTAAAAGAACAGAAAATAGGACCACGTGTGGTGGCACATTGTAATCCCAATGGCTCAGGAGGTTGAGACAGGAGGATCATAAGTTCAAAGCCAGACTTAGCAAAAATAGAGGTGCTAAGCAACTCAGTGAGACCTTGTCTCTAAATAAAACACAAAATAGGGGATGTGGCTCAGTGGTTGAGTGCTCCTGAGTTAAATCCTCAGTACCAAAAAAAAAAACAAAACAAAACAAAAAAACAAAAACAAACAAACAAACAAACAAAAAAGCCCAGAAAATATACAGTAAGAATTGAAATGGAGTCAAGCAGGCCAAATTCAGGACAAAAGAATTTCTAGGAACTGGCATTAAGAAGCAGAAAATACTGAGTATAGTAGCAGGTCAGGGAGTAGATTTGATTAGTTTACTGAAGGTATTAAAGACATATTAATGGGTCTAACTTTGATATGAGTAAGACAATGGAGAACAACTATAACTTTCTAGAAGAAGAAGGAGCTAACAAAAAAGAGTTAATCAAGGGGCTGGGGTTTAGCTCAGTGGCAGAGAGCTTGCCTTGCATGCTTGAGGCACTGGGTTCGATCCCTGGAACCACATAAAAATAAAAACAAATAAAATAAAGGTATTGTGTCCATCTACAACTAAAAAGAAAAAATTGAAATAAAAAAAAAGTTCATCAAAAAAATTTTGGAGAATGATTCATTTGATGGAAGAGTAAAGATGAGATCAATGTGAATAAATTCCAAAGTTTTGAGCTTTATATAAATCATGACACCAGGAAATATTGACTGAAAAATAACCATGTTTTAAATAAACTTGGGAGTTCAATATCTTCTTGATTTCTGATACAAATATTTATTGAAGACCTAAATAATGTCATATTTTTATGTTCACAATATGGTGAATGAGAAACAAGTTCTCCACCCTCAGTGTATTATCAGACATATACTTAGATGATTATTAAACAATGTGGTATGTGAAATAATGAATAAATAAAAATTGGTTCAATATTCTTGAAGTATAAAGTATGAGGATGGATTTTTGGATATTAGTAAAATAATATTATTAATTTCCATTGAATACTACTATATTACTGCTTTAATCAGTCAGCTATAATATAATATATATACTGATATATGCAAAACATATCATCTTTTGTTTTTATTCTCAATGATTTGTAAATAGTTTTTATTTACTAGATTCTTACTTCCTTTTCCAGTGTGTACTATTTTAGAAAATTGCCTTTTATCTTTGGGTATCAAGGTTAGGTTTATTATATTTTTAAAAAAATGTCCCTTTTTTGTGGTATTGGGGATGAAACACCAGGCTTCATGCATGTTGGGAAAGCATTCTAACACTGAGCTACACCCTGGCGCTCAAAGAATATTTTGATTGTATGATTTACATATGTATGGGACTATGGACATTTGAAGATAGGACCGAATAGAATTCGAATTTTATTAGAAGTAATAATTTTACCATTTGTGTTTACTTATAAATTTAAAACATAAAACTAGTTAATAAAGCAATTAAGAAGTCTACTGAATTAATAGCAATATAAAAATTAGATACCTGCATATAATTAGAACAGTTTTTAGAGCAAGTTTCGTTTTCAAAATTAAAATATTTCTTCTCTGCATACCAACTTTTGATAGCAACAGTTGCAGTAAATTCATTCTCAGGGCCAACCCACATATTTTCACCAATACCATTAAATGTAGGATGGGCCATATGTATTTCTTCTAAATGAATATTAGGCTTAAACACACACTTTTTCCCCCAGGCTCTAGCAGTTCGTGATAAAGCTACATCCCAAGTCTGTAAGGAGAAAACAAAACAAAACAAAACAACAACAACAACAAACACACACACACACAAAAAAAAAAGCAGAGAAAACAGAACAATAATAAATAGGGATTTTTGTGCTCTTGATTATTTTCTAGGAATTCTCTAGTTTAAGAATTCTAATTTTGTACTTAGGAGTTTTGTTTGTGTAATTTCTATGAGGAAATATTTTTTTTTATAATTGTAAATGAAATGATTATATCCTTGGACAAAGGACCATTCATATATTTGTAACTGAAGTAGTGCAAATTATAACATTCTTAAGTATAGTCTGTTTAGAACATATATTTTAATCCCATGTTTTTTGTACTTAGTAACAAAACAATTTTAAATAGAATTCATCTAATAACTATTTATTGGGCCTTCATTATATACCAAATATTGTGCTATCAGCATTAAAATGAGAAGTCAGCATAAATTTTGTATTCAAGTTGCTTATTGTTAGGATAACACACACATATGTGTATATAGATAAAATGTTTATACACATACATAAAAATCTTTAATGCATGTGTTAACTTTATAAAAAAGATACATAAACACTTTTATGCAAGTCCAGAAATGTCACAAGATACCACATGATGTTGTTGCTCCCTTACCATTTGTAAATATACAGAGATGTATGCTTTTATCATTTAACAAATAACTAGGTTTGTTCTTTACTTAACAACAATAAAAACATACTATGAAAATCAACAGAATAATCATTACACCAAAATACTAAGTATGTATGTTACAGTAAACATTTCTGAAAAACATTAAGATAGCTTTAGGTTTCTTAGTTAATTTCACAGATTGTACATAAATTCATTAGAGAAAATAAACAAATCAGCCCTTTAGAATATTTCTTTACTACTTCCCTCCACAAAGGTAACCACTGTTCAAAAGACTACCTATTCACACATTTCTCTCTGTATGTACACACATATACACATGCATTCAAATATGTGTTTGGTTGTTTTAAATGGGCATTTTGTTATTGGTTTTTCTTTGTACTATTGTGATTACAAATTATGGTTGTTTCCCAAAGGCCATATGCTAAATACTTGGTCCCCATCTGATGGCATTATTGAGAGGTAGTGGAAACCTGAGGAGGTGGGACCTACTTCAAGGAATTAGGTCACTGTGATGTGTCTTTGAAGAGTATATTTTGTCCCTGGTTCCTGGATATCTTTCTGTTTTCTGGTTGCCATGAGGTAAACAGCTTTACTCTACCACATCCTCTGTGCCTTGTGTTCTGCCTGACCACAGGTCTATAGCAACAGAATCCGTTGAACATGGACTGATACCTCTGAAATTAAGAGCCCAAATAAACCTTTCCTCTGTTTTTTTTTTTCCTCTGGTATTTTGTCACAGTATTAGAAGCTGACTAACTCAAAAAACTGATGAAAAGTGTAATTGTTACCAAAAGCTCAGTCCTTGTCCCTGATGCCAATTCAATAACAAGAACATGGTTTCAAGAAAAAGGAAAAAGAAGGTTATTACTTTGCTAGCAAAGGAGAAGCACTGAGAGTTCTGTCTCAGAAGCTATGAGACAGAACTCCATCAAGGGGAGCCGGTGGCTTTTAGAAAAGGTGATGCAAAGGCTATATTGCACGTGTTCTGTCTGGAGTTGTAATTCACTTGTTAATTTGGGAGACAGTCATTTCTGAGGTCTTCTGAATTACTTCATTCCTGTAGTGGGTTTGTGGCTAATGGATAGATAACTCTGCTTAGAATGGGGAAGAAAGCAATCCTGTTTCCCAAGAATGGGGAGCAGGAAAGATTAGGGAGAAACAGGGAGAGAGGAAGAGAAATAAATGGTTCTTTTTAAAAAAATAATTCACAGTTGCAGAGCATCAATGGCTATATTCAAAGCATAAAGTGGACCACGGTTATAGGATCACTGATATGACTATACCTGACCATGTGTGGTCATAAGCCTTTAGAACTGTTTCTGGGAGAAGTTTGGAAATGTTTTGAGAGACAGCCCAGGGAAAGCTTAGATTGCTGTAAGCAGAGCTCTATGGGCAGTTCTGATTACACCTCAAAGACCAGAATGCTGATAGGAATGCAGACAGTAAAGACTATGCCCATGAGGTTTCAGACGAGACTAAGGACTCTTTTGGGAATTGGACTAGAGGCCACATTCGATTCTGGCAAAGAATTTGTCAACATTTCTCCAGATTCTGAGACTATGTGAAATTGACTATAAAGATGAAAGATAATTAATTTGGCAGAGGAAATTTCCAGCATAGCATTCAGGCTCTGGTATGAGTATTGCTGACTAATTTATATAGATTAGTAACAAGAATCAGCAGTAAAAACCAGGGCAAAAGATGTGAAAACACTGTACAAAATTGGAGCCAAAGAAGATGTGGTTGCTGAAGAGATTAGTGCTAATTAAAGGAAACCAAATACTTTTATACAGGGACAATAGAAAAAGGCCTGGAGGTTATCTGTGAAATTGGTCAGTCTCCCTCACAGGCTCAAGCGATCAAAGCTATAACTTGTTTGAAATGCTTTGAGAAGAGAGCACCAGGGCAACCGGCTTAGAAATCATTTTACCATGCTCATCTATGCAGGCACTCAGCTATGCAGGCTGCTGCAGCCATGGTTCAAGTAGAGCCAGATACTGCTTGAGTTAGCTGTAGACTTTGGCACATCCATATGATGCTGGTTTTGTAGGTATCCAGTGTGAAAGAGTTGTAGGGTCACAGAGAATTCCAATTAGATTTTAAAAGAAGGCCTGGGAGGCTGGGCAGTGTGTGGCAGGATTAGAATCCCTATGGGTAGTGTCTGAGAGTGTGATACATGAAGTTGTAAGAGCAAAGTCAAAGCTATAATGGAGAACCCTGGAAGTTGGAGATGCCAAAAACATGGGATGTCTGTTAAGGAAAGTTGTAGGCAATGAGTAGAGCCAGCCCCAAGATAGTGGCCATGTGGACAATAACTGGCAGGCAAGGCTATAGGGGAGGGACTGGCCCAAGCTCTTTGGAGCTTGTACCATACCAACATATGTCCCGGAGGCTGAACATGGAATTGCAGGGTTTAATATTTGCCTGGTGGGATTTCAGTCTTGCTTTGCTCCAATACCTCCTTGGAATTTTTCCTATTCCTCCCTTTTGGAATGGGAACTTGTATTCTGTCCACCATATTACATTGAAAGTATGTAATTTTCTTTTACAGGGGCTCACAGCTAAGAGATTTTCTAGAATCAGGAAATCTAGGATTTGGTCTTTTGAGTCATGTTGGAACTACTGAATTTTTGGAGATGGACTGAAGGCAATTTGCATTATGAGATGGACATGAAACCTTGAGGTCCAGGGTTGGAATGACAGGGCTTGAATCTAAAATGTCTACCAGAGACCATGTGCGAAAGGCTTGGTCCCTCAGCTGATGGTGGTATTGGGAGGTGGTGAAAACTTTAAAAGGTGAGGCCTAGTTTGAGGAATGAGGGTGTGCCCCTGAAATATATATTTTGTCCCTGGGCCCTAGCAGTCTCTCTGATTCCCAACCACCATGAGGAAAACAACTCTGCACTGCTGTGTGCTCCCTACCACCATACTCTGCCTCACCCATAGCAATGGGACCAAATAACTAGAGACTAAATCCTCTAAAATTGTGAGCCAAAATAAATATTTTTTTCCTTTAAGTTGTTTTTCTCAGCTTTTTAGTCACAATAATGAAAAGCTAACACATCATTCCGTATACAATACTATTGGTTTACAACTAATACTTATCATAGAGAAATTGTTCCACATTAATATGACAGATCTGCTTAATTTGTACAAACTCTGCATAGCATTCTATAGTATATATACCCTACAATTAATTCCATATTAATAGCTTCTTTTATTTCCCTTTGCAAACAATTCGTCTTACCTATCCTTCTTCTGCCTTACTTTGAACATAGTTTACAACCTCACCATGTGCCAATCACTATTTTAAGTTTTCTTTAATGTAACATCTCATTTAATTTTTATAATAACCCTATAAGTAATGAATGTATTACTATAAGTAGTAATATGCATTATTATTACTATAGGCATGTATACACTTAACCATGGAGATACATTCTGAAGAATACATCAGGCAGTTTCATTTTTGTATGAATCTCATAAAACATATTTACATAAAACTAGATGGTATAGCCTACTATACATTTAGACTATGTGGTATATACCATCATACATGCAACCTGTATTTCTGTTTCAGAGAGGAAGTAACTAAAATAGAAAGAAATTAAGTAGATCACTTAATGACTCATAGTAATCTATATAAAGATTGTAGTTAAGCCCAGGAAACATAATTTTCAACTCCATGTTTGTAAGCATTTCAGTTAACTGCTTCCCATGATTATGTATAAATAAATTATGATAGTTTCAAATTCCTTTATTCAACCATGAATCAAATTGTAGTTGGAGATAAAGGCTAAAGTTTCAAAAAGTGGCTGATGAGTAATTAATGAGAAATGTGAGAAAGTAAAGAATTTTATTAGCCTCTAGCCTTTACGTAGAAAAATTGAATCCATATTCTAATTCATGCTTCATTGGAGGCAACATGAAAATTTTAATTTTTTCAATGTTTCCCTAGAATATGTCTAGGTATAAATCTTTTCTCACTAATTTGTCTTAGCATTTGGTGTTTCCATTAAAAAATATTTTTTGTTTCTTTAAAAAATAATATAAAGGGGGCTGGGGATGTGGCTCAAGTGGTAGCGCGCTCGCCTGGCATGCATGCGGCCCAGGTTCGATCCTCAGCAACACATACAAACAAAGATGTTATGGCTGTCGAAAAACTAAAAAATAAATATTAAAATTAAAAAATAATAATAATATAAAAAGTATCATCATAACTATTATATATGGATTGATGATTTCATTTAACTCATTAATTGGTAAGAGATCTTCTAGGAAGTTATAACTTTTTCAAGGAAAATACAAAGAATTCTCAATTTTATGTGCAGGAAATCAATTCACAAGTAAGTGTAA